GTGGAAAGATGGTGACCTGGGTCTTTGCCGCGTTGATACGGATCTTCCAGCTGTTGAAGTATTCAGACAGAACGTCCAGGCCGCTCTGAAGTTTGGCAGTCAGAGCTCCGATGACCCTACCCTTGTAGACGATGGATGTGTCATCTGCGATCAGAGACAACGATCCACCATCAGGGAGAGCCGGCATATCGGAGGTGAACAGGTTGAATAGGATGGGGCCAAGGATGCTTCCTTGTGGAACCCCGGCACCGATGTTGAAAGCAACCGATGTGATGCCATTCAGAGAGACTCGGAACGTTCTGTCTAATAAATAGTTGTTTATTATCTTCACTAGGAAGATTGGAAGACCGTACTGCTGCAATTTGAACACCAGGTCATCATGCCAGACATTGTCGAACGCTTTTTCAACGTCCAACAACGCCATGGCAGATATTTTCGAAACAGAATTGTTCCGTCTGGGAATGTTTGTTACTCGAGTCAGCTGGTGGACGGTCGAACGACCTTTCCGAAAACCAAACTGTTCCTCGAGTAACAAGTTGTTTTCATCGGCAGATGTTAGGAGCCGGTGGTGCACTGCTGTTTTGAACAGTTTTGATAACCCTGAGAGAAGGCTGATTGGTCGATAACTTGAAGGAGAGGACGGATCCTTCCCAGGTTTCCGGATGGGTATGACTTTAGCTGACTTCCAACACGAGGGGAAGTAGCCAAGTCTGAGGCACTGATTAAAAATCAGTGCCAGATGGTTGTAGAATCTGGAACTCAGGTGTTTGAGTTCTAGATTCAGGATGTTGTCGAAACCTGGGGCCTTCATGTTTTTAGATGATTTGATATAGGCCAACAGTTCGTCGGCCGTAATCTCGGATTCCTCTGGAAAAATGTTAGGCATCTGAAGAAGATTGGTTGCATTTTCAGCAACCTCAGATTAATGAGGGCTGACGATGTTGTGTCCGAGATTATGGGAGCTAACGAAGTGTTGACCTATCGCGACAGCCTTCTCTTCAGGAGTTATCAGATGAACCACTGGGTCGCCGGGACGATCCAGTGGGGTCAGTGGTGGAATGGGCCTAGGTTTTTTTTTAAGAATTTTTGTAAGTTTCCAGAAGGGCTTAGCACAATCTGGGAGAGAGCGGATCTTACTAGCAAAATCGTTATTTCTGACATCCACCTGAATGATCTTTGTTAATCGATTACAACTGGTCTTCAAGCTAGGCAGGCCAGTACGCTGGTACTGCCTACGAATGGTGTTACGGAGTCTAATGAGATCTTTGGTAGGGCTGCCAAGGTTCAGAGTGTTACTCACCTGTCTGGATACTGGCACGTGTTGTTCCCTGGCCCGGGAAATCGCCTCCTCAATGGTTTGTAGACACCGGTCAACATCTTCGGACGTCCCCGGTTGGACATCGTAGTCGATGGTTGTGTCGACGCAGTGTTGATATTGCGCTCAGTTGACTCGATGGTAGTTGCGCCGGGAAGCTTCGAATCGGTTAACCGAGGTTCCAACTTCGGCCACCACAGGGTAGTGGTCCGAGCTCAGCTCCTGGAATGCCACAGGTTGCGAGATGTTGTGTCCCATGTTGCTTACGAAGATGTCGATGGTCGCATGGACCCCAGACCGACTCAACCGGGTGAGAGAGTCCGGGGCCAAGATGGTATAGTGGCCATCTTGCAGGTCTTCATTTAGGATGATGCCGTTTCTATTGCTCCGACCATTGCCCCAAGCTTGGTGTTTTGCGTTCAGATCGCCAGCGATAATGAAGTTCCCGCTCCTCCGGGTGAGTTTGATGATGTCTTTGCGGAGGGCCACTGACGACCCGTCCCTGATGTTGGTTTGCTTGGGGCAGTAGGCCGCGATGATGGTGATTGGGCCAAGTGATGTGCTCACCTCCACTCCGATGGCTTCAATTGTTTTCAGCTGGAAGTTTAGTAGCAGCCGGCAACTGATGTTCCGTCTTGCAGCGATGGCCACTCCTCCACCTTCAGAGCAGGTGCGATCAAGTCTGACAAGCCGAAAGTCGGGAAGGAATATGTTCAGATCGGGTTTCAAATGCGTCTCGGTGATGACAGCAATGTCGACTTCCTTGGTGTTGAGGAAATCGAGTAGCTCTCTATGCTTGTTCGTCAATGAGCAAGCGTTCCAATTTACAATTTTTATAGCTTCACGGTCCATACTTGGTGACGAGTGACAAGGCAGCAAGAAGCTGTTCAGATCGAGTCTTGCAGGTGCGCATGATGATGATGACCTCGGCCACGAGCGTCACAAGTTCCTCCGAGGTGAACGGAGAATCGTCGACAGATTCACCTGAGACAGCACCAGCGTATGATAAACCAGGGGCGGTGGATGAACCTGGAATTGGCTGGGCCGCAGCAGCAGCGAGACGATGCTGAACTGTCCGACTGTTGGGAACCATTTGGATACTCGCAGGATTGGCTTGTTGGTTGTTGTGCGGAAGCGGTGCTAGGTTCGGAACATGTCGACGAGGCTGGAGAGCTGGATACTGGACTTCCGTTAGTACAGGAGGCGAACGATGATTACGAAGGCGACCGAGCTGGTTGTTGATGGTGGCCTTCCGACGGATATTAATGAGCTCCACTCGCTTGGGACATCCGCGATTCGAGGCTTGTTGGTTTCCACCGCAGTTGACACACGTTGGCTCGATGTCATCGACTTGCTCACAGGACGCAGTTGAGTGAGTTCCAGCACACTTGCCGCAGTTTGTCTTCATGTGGCAGTTTTTGGTGCCATGGCCATATGAGAGGCAGTTCATACACTGCGTTACATCACGATGTTGGGGTTTGTAATGCTCCCAACTGATGATGACCTGAAACAGGTCCCGGATATTGGATCTCAGAGCCGCAAGACTGGTGGATCCCTTCGTGAGCTGGTGTTTTGGTTGGGACGCCGGTTCATCGGGTACACTGCCTCAGGCTTGAGCCCGAACCGCTCCAGCTCGGATTTTACCGCAGTCGCCTCGAACGACGGTAATCCACGCAAAACCACCTTCAGTGGCTTGCTCGATGGCAGATGTTGTTCTTCAGGAAACTTCCTATTTGTTTGTACTCCTCCAGGTTGGAGCACATGATTTTGGTACCGATGCTGCAAAGCTTGAAGCGAGGCAGCAGCTTGTGTTTTGCCAGTTCAGCACCCAGCTTGACAACATCCTTCACCTGCGTGAAAAGCGGGGGAATCCGCTCTCGTCTTGCAATGGGAACGGCGTCACCATCGCCATTTTCTTCCGGGAGTACTGCATACTGGTTGGCTTGCAGTACTCGTTTTCCGGCGTAATCCTGCGACGCGCTGGGCTTGATTAGCACCTTCTTTAAAGGGCCCGCTGCTGGCTCATTGGCACGTTTATGCACCATTTGTTTCGTGTTTGCAAGTTCAATTAAACTTGCCAGAACGCGAGAAGGTGGCGACACTTCCACGGCGCAACGCGACAGCACAAAACGAAACAAAATCGAATCGAGAACTCGAGCGAAAATACGGACTGAACAGCTAGACAGTCGAGCAAAGAATGGTCGAGAATGGGCGCCTTTCACAGCCGTTCCTTATATAGAGCGATCCGTACGGCAGGGAGACCCAAAGTTTGTGGTGGTGACCTTTGCGTTGCATACGCCGACGACATCACGTTGAATGCAACCTCAACACAAACAATCGACCGTATTTACCAGCTGTTCGGCAGTTTTGAGATCGTTGCCGGGGCAAAATTAAATCGGCAAAAAACAGATTCGTCAATGGGAACCCACTTATAATACCAGAACTGCAGACGAAGGAGAATGTGAAGGTTCTGGGTGTTATTTTCACCAACTCAGTGCGGCTGATGGTGAAGCAAAACTGGGATGCTTTAGTAGCCAGAATAACGCAACTTATATGGTTGCATAACATGCGCTCCCTTACCCTGCAACAGAAGGTGATTTTGTTAAACACCTTTATTACAGCGAAGGTGTGGTATCTTTCGTCTGTAATTCCACCACAGTGTGTTCATACGGCGAAACTGACAGCGACGATGGGAACATTCCTGTTTCGTGGGCTGCCCGCACGAATTCCAATGCAGCAGTTGTGCCAACGTGCCGTAGCAGAGAAAAAGGTGGACTAAAGCTACAATCGCCGGCGATCAAATGCAAAGCGCTTCTCATCAACCGCCACCTGCAGGAGATCGATTCCATTCCCTTTTATCGTTCCCTTATCTCCCAAAATATTCCTCCCCCTGCCGATCTTCCTTGTTTCAAACTGCTTTCTCGGCAGACTCCTTTGCTTCCACCCAACATCCAACAAAATCCCACCAGCCATCAAATTCATTGCCTCTATCTTGAGCAAACCGAACTGCCAAGGGTGGAACGGAACCAGCCAGGTCACAATTGGAAAAAGATCTGGACAAATATTTCGTCCAGCAGATTATCGTCGTGCCAACGCAGCGATCTCTACATGTTATAGCGAATTCGTTTATTATTCAGTTCCAACCTGGATCGGGTATCAAGATTGGGTCTGCTTGTTTTCTGACAAACATCAGTTTGCTCGTTTGATTTTAAAACCTAGCTCAGGTTGAGGTTCACACCGACAAAAAGTTCGGTTTCGCACTGGGTTGGAACTGGTGTTAACCCCGATAATAAACGAATTCGCTATTAGTCAACGAGGAGACGGAGCACCGCAGACTAATGAACATTATCGGACGTGCAAATGATTCGAATTGTCAGCACTGCATGGTGTCTATTGAAACACTACAGCACAAGTTTTGCGAGTGCCCTCGTATAGCTGCAGCATGGACGCACGTACAACGCCAGAAGCCAGAAGAAATTAAATTCCTAAATGGTTTATAAAATACATCAACTATATTAATGCAAATATTAATAACAGAATAGATGTAGGTGAACTAGAATTCTTTCTGAATTTAGAAGAATAATATTTTTTACAAATTGAATCTGATATCTATTAGTTAAAAATAAACAAACTACATTTTACAAAAAAAAATCAATCCATTTCTCAAACCATTGCTTCATTCCAGGCCAGCGTTTCGCCATGCTCGAGCTGAAAGCGATCCTCACCGCAGTGCTGCGGGAGTTCCGCGTTCTTCCGGTCACCAAACGCGAGGAGGTGGTCTTCGTCGCCGATATGGTCCTCCGGGCGAGGGACCCCATCAAAGTAAAATTCGAACGACGCTCTGCGCAATAACCATGGACACATTTCTCAGCTTTTCTAACGACAAAATCGACTGAGCTCTATGTTTTAATCGTAGGTTTAATACATACTGTTTAAGAACTCCATCATGATATTGAATGAAATATTAATATGAATAAATGATCTATTTTCCACTTACTTGTTACTATTGTTACACTTGCTGTTGTTGTTGCACTTGTTGCTGTTGCGGTGGTTGTTGTTGTTGTTGTTGCGAAGCCGCCGATTGGCCAGGTTGTCCTTGCTGGCCTGCGGCTTGAGGCTGCTGCTGGACTTGTTGAGACCCGTTCTGCCCCGCCGTGTCCACATTGTGCTGATCGACCCCAATCTCATCGACGTTCAACCTGGTAATGAACCGAAGGCGCATCTGCAGTGCAGGCCGCAATCGCCGGATGATCGCCTCCAGATCGGACTTCATCATGTCACCGATGAACATGTACTTGATGTGATACAGCAGGTCACAGATCGGATCCATGTACTTGAGCGGTGCCGAAGCCTGCGCTTTGTCAACCTGTTCGAGCAGTTCGTACAGGATTAGGGTGATGTCGGAAACGGCCCGGGGGCGCTCGGTACTGAGACGGTTCAGGAATGGACCAACCAGGTGACACAGGTAGATCAGTTGGTACTCGGTTTTGATGATGGGTTTGAACTTTTCCTTGATGAAACTGAGAAGGAAATTAGCGTGAATCTACTTTCAGAGCATGCAAGAACTTACTCGGTAACGGTCGAGATCTGTCCGATTCCGCTGTGATGCAGAATGCTTTGCGCGATCGCCAAGATCACCACGTAGTTCTTCTCCAGCATGGCTTCCCGGACGATTTTGAAATTGAACAGCTCGAACGGACTCTGCCGGTGGATCCATTCCACCATCTGCGGGCAGCTGATGACCTCCCGCAAGCGTTCGTAGATCACTCCCCAGTAGGACTCCGGCAGGGCGGCCATAATCAATCCGATCGTGTTGATCCAGCTGTGGACGCTCTGGGCCGGAATTACCGGGTACCCTTTCACGACCACATCGATCAGACTGTTGGCAACGCCCTGCGGCCCCACCGGTAGACCTAGAAGCTCCACGCAGGTTACGTACAGAGCGTGGGCCGGAGGGTTCGGGAACTCATTGAAGCGCCAGTCCGTTCCGGGGAAGACGTTCGTTCCGTCGATGGCTAAGGTGGGTAGGTGGGTTAAGGATTGATTGGGAAAATTGTTGACAGATAGGTCTACAAAACAACGCTTTACAATATCTTTCGGAAACGAGACAAATTTGAGGAACGCCCTACATACTTATCCTGACTTTGCAAGGTATCTACTCGACTCATCTAGCGAAAATCTCTAGAGGAAGTTCAGAAACCTTCACAAAGTTGTACAGGAAGAATCTTAAGAACAATTTCAAGAAGCTTCAAGTGGAAGATCTCCAACACTTTTCGGTCACCGAATCGCTTTGAAAGTGTCATTAACCTGTCGTTGAAAACGCTCTGTCCTCTACCAAAAATCTCACCAAACCTCTCTCAACAACTAGGCCTATTCTGCGCGGCGTGTGAGGTGAGCTGACAGTGAAGTGACAATTTGTCACTTCGGGTGAGGTGAGTCTCCATGCAAATCAAATGGAGAGTCACCTCACCCGAGGTGTGACAATTGTCACTTCACCATCACTTCACTGTCACCTCATCTCACACGCCGCGCAGAATAGGCCTAAACTTCCGATTGCAGAGGAAGCTCACCAATTCCACCTTGGGAAACCCCCTTTCAACCTTGCTTGAAAGCTCCTTCAACCTTGCTTGTCCTAGCTGGTCAAAATGATGCGATTTCTTAGAAAAGGATACTGTCCTGCATCCGCCGAACGAGATATATGAAGTAGTTCAGATCCGGTATCCAGTTGACCGTTTCATCCTTCTTGGACATGTACGACTGATACTGCTCCGTTACGGCCCAATTGTCCGGACGAACATCCTTCAGCGAACCGATGACCGTTCCAACCTACGAAAAATAAAAACGACCCCCATTCAAATCCGACTTTCTACCCTTACGCAACCCCGCAAAAACCTTACCAATCGCTTCTTCAGCGACGACCTATCGCGCAACATCCGCTCGTAGTAGTGCAACGTGTTGTACAGATAGGTGATCGGTCGGTCGTGGAACTTGTACAGCGGTCCCAAGTGCTCCAGCAGAACATCCAACGTCTTGCTCATCGCTGCCGGTACCTCCAGGTAGCGATGGATTGTAATGTCCAGCACCGGTAGGAAGCGCAAGCACACGTTGCCAAAGTACACCGGCAGAGATGGATGCGAAACCGATTCGTCCGGGGTGAACTTCTCCGGGAACTTCTGGTGAAACGCCAGATGGCGTTCGTGCCAGTTGTTCTGCTTCCAGTGTTCCGGCGAATTGATGCTGACAAACTCCTGCAGACGGTTGCGGAATTCCGATGTCTTTAGCAGAAGAAGTTGAATGATGCAGAAGCTGACCTGGGCTTCGTTGCCTTCGAGGGTTCGCAGCGAGAGACACAGCACCAGCCGGTCGATCGTGATGATGTTGTACTTCCAGATCATGTCATTGATGGTGTCGACGCACTTGTTGACGTGCGCGCTGACGCCGGAGTTGGACACCTCGAACACGAGGTAGTCGCACAGCTTGCGCAGGTGGGCCGACAGGGCGCGGGCGCCGATGCGTTCGAGGATTCTGAAAACTGTGGTTTGAATTACCTTGGCTTGTGTAAACCTGTCACGATGCCACTTACTTGTAAGCCACCGGACTGATGGTATCCGTTTCGACGATCATCTTGAACAGTAAGCACAAAAACAACGGCGGCGTGCCGGGCGTCCCCGCCGTCCCGAAGTGTCCTATGATGTCATTTTCGTTGGACATGGACGCCCAGTTCCGGTACTCCTCGTCCACGGACTTCTTCAGCAGTTGCTTGTTCTCTTTCTGCACGTTGTGCTGCACGAAGAAGTCATTCAGCACCGGCGGGAAGCACTGCAGCGTATACTGCGACCAGGTGTGCGGCGTGTTTTGCATGATGCTGTTCAGGAGGTCTTTGCACCAGGTACTGGACTGGGGATCGTTTCCGGTGCCGGTGATTTGCATCGACCGGGCCAGCGTTAGAATCAGTGCCCGGTTCAGTTCTTCGCTCTCGGCCGACACGATATTGCCGGGGGTTTTCGGCTCGTTTACGTACCGCGACAGCTGGGCTTGCACTTCGACCGAACCGAGACCGGTGATCAGTCGAAGGGCCGTAGATTCCACGCTGTGAAAATTAAATTGATGATTAATGATGGAAGACTTTAACTGAGTTTGAGTTAGATTACCAGGAATGCAACTGCATCTGATTGGTGTGCGGGACGGACGCGAGCGAGTGCAGATGGGACAGCAGCTGCACCCGGTAGTGCGGTTGGATGTGATGCATCCGGTAGGAGAACATCTCAAGCAGAGTGTACAGAATTCCCCAGGCGTGCGATTTGAAGACCTGCGGCAGCAGCTGGCTGAGGAATCCCTTGATCCCGAGGGATTCTATTTCGGTGTACACCAACAGTCGGGAGTAGGTTTCGACGAGTGCCGGTGCCATGTTGTTAGCATTCGGGATGGTGCTCTTGTTCTGCGCTTGCTTGATCATGTGCGTTACGATGCTGTGGATCAGGGACATCTTGCTGTGGATGGTTAGGCTATCCAGGACGCACATGGAGAGCGGAACGGTTGGGAGCGATTGACTGCCACCGGCTCCGGATTGGTTTTTGGAATTTCCCAGTATGGTTTCGATCAGCGCTGCCATCGGACGTGAGAAGTAGTCCGGATTGGTTGAGTAGGCATTGCAGAGCAGGGCCAAACGGTAGTCGGAGCCCATGCAGAGAGTGGTATTGTTGTTCGGCATGACCAAATGCTGCAGGAATTCGTGATGCAGCTTCAGGGCCGTCGGTATTGGGCGATTGATGTTGTAGTGCTCGGATTGAGCTCGTTTTAACAGATGAATCCAAATGCAAGTCGGTGCCATCTGGTGGGTGCACAGAGGATTGTTGTAATCCGGCACCGGAAGAGGCTCCTTCTCCGGGTATAAAATGTCATACAGCTTCAAAATCGGCAAGAAATTAGTTATCGAATTCCGTTGAATACTTCCGGATATGTACTGCAGCAGCACCCACATCAGATGATCCCGTCCGCGCCGTAAATTCCTCACCGCAAGCTTATCGTGCAGCGTATTGACAATGTTTTGGAATGTTGCAAACTGAAACAGCACAAAGTAGATCAACTGCGAACTCAAGTGCAGCCAAACCCACTGGGTGTGGCTGGAAATCTCCCCGTCCACCGAATGGACCGGTTCCTTCTCCGAGCATTCCATCGCACAGATCACCAACCAAACCAGCTGCTCCTCCAGAGCCACACACTTTTGCTTCTGCGTTTTCTGCAAATTCAACATCGAGCAGACCATGTCCCTGGAATACGGCTGCTCCAGCACGAACCGCAGCAGTTTGATCTGCGGCTGCAGCAACTCCGGTTCGTACGGTAAGTTTCCCCTCAGCGCAAGCTTCAACGTGTTCGGATCCAGCTTCCACGGGTTGATCAGATTGTCCGCGTAGGACGAGTGCTCCACGATCGGCAGCATCGACGAGTGGCCAATGATCGACAACATCTGCGCTACGATCACAAACTCCTCGATGAAGTTCGCAATCAGATTGGCTATCCGCCAGTGGGTGTCCTGGTAGTCCGCCTTCTGGATCTCGTTTATGATAAAGTACGCCGGAAGAAGACACGCATTCCGGTTGAAGATATGCTCAATCACCTCGGTCAGTTCCAGCATCTGCGGCAGGACGCTGGAACCGATTCCGGACGGGAACGACAGTGCCTTCTCCTTGCAGCACTTCATTATCTCCCGGACGCCCTTGTAGTCGACGCCGCCGATGACCCGCCGGACAACCTGAAAGCACTCGATCCAGAAGCTCTGGTTCTGGTAGGCCAGCTTCTCCGAACTCATAATCTGCTCGCACAACAACCGCGCCGGAATAATGTTCTTCCCGACCAGATCCTTCAGCACCTGCAGGTGCTTGTGCACCTTGTTCCGATGGTTGATTCCAGCCACATGAATCAAATAGGACCGCAGGGCATTCTCCTTCACCTCCTGGGACATGGCAGCGAATGCTGTGGCAAACTTCTTCATTCCCTCCTCGGCACGCCGCTGCACTTCCGCATCGTCCAGTATCGGGCCTTCGTAGTCATAGTCGTTTGTGTTCTCGCACTGCAACAGCAACAACAAATCGAATCACAACATTCCAATAAATCAAGCTTTCTCACGCAAATCGCAACTCACCAGAATTTCCTCGATCAGTTTCGTAATTTGCGTATCGGCGGTCATCTTTTCGCACGGTTTTTAGTTCATAATTCACTCAATATATAGCAAAAAATATGCTTTTCCACAAGCGATTACGATTTTTCGGTGCAGCAAAAGTTGTTTACAAAATACAAGCACTGTTGCACTTTTGGCTTTCGTGGTGAACTACTGTCAAACTTCGTGTGCCGGCTGGTTGAAGGGCTAGAAAATACGAAGTTTATTTGTCGGAGTTGATCCCTTCTCGGTTGTCGGAGTAAAACAGAAGAACATCAGTGCGCTGACAAAAGTACGCAGCCAGATTTGAATATTTTCATCCCGGTGTAATTAGTGGAAGCAGTTACTTGTGGAACAAAAATCTGAATTTTAACGGTGAAAAATAGGAAAAAAAAGAAGCATTAGTAGTGAAATGTGAAAACATTGCGAGGTGAAGTGTTAAACAGTGTGTATTTCAGTGGGATAAATTGGAAAATCTTCGAATAAACGGTGAGTATAGACATCGCAGGGCGTAGCGTAAGACCAACTAGGGGTGCCTCAGTGATTCGATTTTCGTCTGGTTGCTTTCACTAGAATCACACTGGTCTCGGTGCTTAGCATTTTGGTTAATATTATATTAATCTGCATGGAGAAACGAAGTAACTCAAAATTACTCATCTTGACACCTAAGTAAACAGCTCAAAATTAATGTTTTTGCGAAGAATTTAAATTTAAGACTTCATTTTGAGTAGAATGTAACTGTTCAAAATCGGGTTTTCATTATATCAATAATTAAACAGGGGTTTCTCAATTGTTTTCCATATATATATATTGAGCACTAGAAATGAGTTTTACGCTTGGTTTTATTTATCCTTATAATCGAGCTTATAATAAGAAAATCAATCCCCTGAAGGAGCCGGTCAAACAGGTAGAGTTCCAAGCAAACTCATAGTTCGTTGGATCCACTCTCGGCTTTCCTGATTCCGGCAGGTGTACTCAAGGAAAACGTAGTAGACCCATCAACCTCAGCCAAATTGCTCTGTTGTTTTGGAGCTGATTCGCTGTGACATCCTTATTCTCGTAACCACTTCGAAACTTTATGGGCACAAATACCGTGCCGATTCAAATTTCGGACACTTAAACTCGAATTTCGGACACTTTTAAAAGTTGATTATCTCGGTCGAATATGATCCACATGTCTTGTAAATTTTAAATTTTTTTGACTAGTGCCCTCCACGATCATCTAACATTATTACTTTGTTTCTAACTGGATGTAATATTTAATTAAAAATGAAAGTGTCCGAAATTTGAATCGTCCGAAATTTGAATCGGAACGGTATCAGCTTCTACGACACGTGCAACATTGCTGCTTCGATTATGATCTACGCAAAAGTAAAGCTTTATGCTCAACTCTCTATACTCAACTCAACTCAATAAAAGTATATAGCATGACATTGTATTTCACAGATTGCTGAATGCCCTGCGGTACATTGCACTCTGTGATCTTAAGCGTTTCCTCGACTTTACAGTGGTTACCGAGAAATACGACTTATTTCCCAACATCCAGAACTTGTCCCGCCAATATAGTCGAGTGATTCTAATTTTGTTCAAAAGCATTCAATGTTATCATAATACCTTTTATTTGCTGGTTGTTTCGAATAATTCGGTTATGTGTTTGCCGACAAACACCACTTAGTTCGCGAATTCCACAATTTTTGGGTCTTGTTCCGTCCATATCTCAGGAACCAATTAATCGATTGAAAATCTATTGATTAAAATGCTATATAATCATGGTACCTTTCATTTGGTGGTCGGTGCGTTCAATTCGGTAGAGTGGTTGATGAGAAATACGTTTAAGTAAACGCGCTCTTACACATACACAGACAGATATTTTCTGATCCAGTCATGCTGAGTGGATTGGAAGACTAAATATTTTTATTTTTTTTATATCTTTATTGAGGAGACTTTCAGCCCTGGGTTGGTCAGAAAAAAATATCAATGGTTTTATAAAAAGTTAAAAAAACAAAACTCAAAAACGTGAAAAAAGAGTTGATTCAAAATAATACCAATTGTAAATTTACTCCACCATTATTCGATTTGGCAGAACCAGAGTACCAGAATTTTCGGGGTACATAGACATCAATGACATTTATATAAGGTCTGGGCCAACAGGCAGCTTGCTGAGCTTGCTGGTGTTAGAAGCAAAAATGCTGAACATCTGCGAACAGATAGAAATACGTCACTACCACAGCTATTTCGTGTAAACGATAAACATTGCAATAAAATACTAACACCACTGAACATTTGAACATTTCACTGACACCTATACATGCATCGAGGCGAAGATAAACAAACACGACAGGAAAAGAAAACTCGGAGTAGAGGGGTTCTTTAAGGATATTGAGGTAATTGCATATTCGTAATCTGCATTAAAAATGAAACCTAAACCCAAAATTTCATAAATTTTGGTACACTGGAACTATTTTCAATAAGAACGATTACATTTGCAAAAATCAGCGCCCCTCGGTGTCACTTTGTATGGGAGCGAGCTGTCAGTTTGTTGGTTTAGTATCAAACAGTAAAGTTATTATTTTGCATTAAATCTTGATTTAAAAATCGAGATGAAAGTATGTAGGGTCGAAAAAAATATCGCTGTGCTCAGAAAACAAAGCTCTTTCAGATGCTTTATAAAAACCGAAATATTTTTCAAAATTAAAGAACCCAATTCACGAAAATCTCCCTGCAACCTTCTCCGGCAGCAAAGAAACTCTCCAACGAAATCGTGGCGACAACTCCGTTGAAATTCCGTAGAACCTCCGTTGGCAGCATCGAAAATCTTCACCGAAATCATGCGGAAGCTCCTCCTGAAACTTCCGTGAATGTGAGAAAACTCCATCGAAACTGGCATCTCCGCTGGCAGAATCAAAAACCTCCACCAAAATTGTGCAGAACCTCTTCCGCTGAGAACGCGAGAAAACTCCGTTAAATTCCCTGGAGTCTCCGCTGGCAGCATCATAAATCGCCACCGAAACCGTATGGAACTTCGTGCACCATGATCGCAAGAAAACGCCATCGAAATTTTGCATTTTTTATGTAATTGTTATATATTTATTTGTCAACATCAACATACCTACTCAATGTAGCCCCAATGTATTTCATTTAGTCATACCAAGTCAAACGTAATCCTGGTGGAGGAACCCTTTATCAGAATAAGACAAAGTTCCAAGAACATTCGTTGGCAGCGGCTAGAATCGTCGTCTTCGAAGTCATGCAGAATTTAATTTGCCAGGAAGGCAAAAAAATCCATTGAAACTTCCAGGAACTCCCGCTGGCAGCATCCAAAATCACCGAAATCACGCGGAACTTCGTCCATCGATTACGTGAGAAAATGCCCGAAGCTTCCGTCTGTTGCATCCAATCTCTTCACTGGTATCGTGCAGAAACTCTTTCGTCGACAATGCGTGGAAACTTCGTCGAAAGTCTCTGGGAACCTCCGATTGCAGCATCTGAATTTTCGAGGGGAGTTTCGATGGAGTTTTCAGATATTCTCGACGTGACGACGGAGAGGGTTCCGAGCGATTTCGGCTGAGATTTTTGGTGCTGCCAAAGGAGGTTCCAGTGAGCTTCGACCGAGTTTTCTCGCGTTTTCGGTGGAGGAGGCTATGTACGATTCCGGTGGAGATTTCTAATGCTGCCACCGGAAATTTCGACGGATTTTTTTCTGCGGAATCATTTTCTCAAGTCAGGAGTAAGTCAGGAGTTTGGATTTAAGCGAACCGAAGCGAACAACAAAACAGGACAAAACCCTTCATGTATACATGCATGTATTGGTGGGAGGAGTCACTTAGAACCAGGGTTGCTTGCACTCACTTGCTATAAAAACATGTTTTTCGGAATTATGAAATCATTAGATATTATAATGATAATTAGTACTTGTAATAGTACGTTCAGACTACAGAGTTATAACATGTTATAGCGCTATCTTGATGGTGGTTTCTGTGTTGCAATTATTTGACAACCGGTATAACATGTTATAACTCTCGAGTCTGTACAGCGTTTAAGTTACAAGAAAAGGTTGTAAACTAGGTGTTTGACACATAAAACCTGTCATTATTGCTTTCAGTGCGTCACAATCAGCGATTTTAAGATTCTGCTCGCCAGTTGTGACGCTCTAAAAGCGAAATTGACAGGTTTCATGTGTCAAATACATACTTTCCAACCTCTTCTTCTATGTGACAAGTACAAAATATCATTATAGCATCTAATGATTCCATTGTTTCGAAAAACATTTTCTATAGCAAAATGAGTGGAAGTAACCCTGCTTAGAACTACACACAGCAAAAAATGCAGTGAGAAAATGCATTTTTTTTTTGTTATAATAAATGCACCTCAAGTGATTTACCCCTAGGTGTACTTGCACACAAAATTATACTAATGCAAAAATGGTACAGGCATCTAAAGCTCTCAATGAATAACTGTGACAGTCCATCTAGAACACTAAGTTGGGAGCACGCAATAAGCTGATATGCGATATGCAATAAACTTAAAATGCGAAGAATAAGAAGAAGAAAATTAACCAGAAAGAGTGCCTGCAGAAGCGATTGCTACCCTTCATCAAAGAAAACCCTTTGTTCTCGCCCGATTTGGCACGATGCAAATTTAGTGAATATTGTACCAAAAACCGCAAATCCGCCAAAGTATCCAGAGTTACGTCCAATCTAGAAATATTGGGCTCTGATGAAGCGGAAGATTTCGGGAAAGAAACAAGGAATCAAAGATGTCAAATACTTCCAACAAATTTGGACAAAGACGGCCACCTGTACAAGCCCTAATGAATGGAGTTAAGAGCAAAGTTCGTAAATTTTAGGCAAATACCGAAAAACTATGTTTTGACTTCGTGAATTTTTTAATCATATCCCAGGAATCTGAAATAAACAACGTTTTACGTAAGTTTTGATGTGTCCGGATTATTGTGGATACAGACCTTACGGCAGGTGAATTCGGGATTTTGATGTTTCTTTGTGGCCGTTGCGTTTAGCGCTTGAATTTTCGAAATATTTTTTCAGTATTTTTTTTATAGAAATAAAGACGCGA